TCAAGCGACGATCCGGCTTTCCTCAAGAGGCAATTGCGCAACTCAGAGAATCGTGTTGCCGAGTTAGAGAGACAGTTCACTACGGAGAAGGACTTGAAGCGTCTTAACAAGACGCTCATTGAAAAGCGCAAAACAGTTTCGGTGTTGGATACTCAGACTGAGATTATGATTCGTCAGCTGGAAGTTCTCGCCGGATACGTCGAACGCGCAAAGGAGACCAAGACACCTGTCGATCCCCGCGACCTGGAAGATTCTGCAATCAAGGAGTTTGTGCAGAAGCTTGACAAGGTCAAGCAGGCCATGAGCGCAGCTATCGAGCAGCTACACGAGGAACGCGACGAGCTAGTCGACGAGAAGAACCAGGCAATGGCCGACAGGGACCGCGCCCTGCTGGAGTTTGAGCAGCTTTCTTCCAAGAACGCCCAGCTTGCGGACATGAACAACGAAATGACCCACCAGATCCAAGAACGGTTCAAGTCTCAAATTGGAGGCGAACTCAAGTCTCCCAACGGCCTTGGCATTTACAGCCAGAGCAAGGTCTTCTCATCATCCAATCTGAACCTCACCGACTCGGCGAGCATGACCACGACTCTCGTTCATGAGACGGATGAGCCAGTTGTTGAAGCTCGACCGACAGTGGTTGATATCAGGAAGGGCCAGGTGAAGAAGTTCAACTGGAAGAAGGGATCCAAGGGCCTCGCAGGAAGCGTGGCCAAGGGTGTAAACCGTGCCGTCGTGGCTTTCCAGCAGGAGCGCGAACGCGGTCCTCATCAGGGCCTGACGGGAGACAGCATCGGCCTGCCGTACAATATGACTGTTTCTCAAGTAGAAGCACCCAGTACCCAGGCTCCTGGAGCTGCCTCGCAGCAGAAGAATGCGCAGCAAGCACAAGGTTTTGGCTTCTTCAAGAACAAGAATAACCAGAAGTCCATGTCCACGACCAACGTGTCGACGCCCACGATCGCAGAGGCGCCCACCACCTTGTTCGGCTCAGACCTAACTGAAAGAGCTGACTACGAAAGGCGCACCATCCCAAGCGTAGTAACACGTTGTATCGAAGAGGTTGAGCTTCGCGGTATGGATATTGAAGGCATCTACAGAAAGACGGGCGGCAACTCCCTGGTGAAGGTCATTCAAGAAGGATTCGACAAGAGCGAGGACTACGACATCTCAGACCCTGGCCTAGACATCACCGCGGTGACGAGCGTGTTGAAGCAATACTTCAGGAAGCTGCCAATGCCGTTGTTAACGTACGAGGTGTACGACAGAGTCCTGGAGTCGAATGGTAAGTTGATATACACACATTCCCGCCCGAATTCTAAGCTGACATTGCCTGGTAGCCATCACAGACCAGACTGAACGCTGTGACCATCTTCGTAAGGTTTTCAGCACGATGCCACAGCGACACCGCGACTGTCTTGAGTTCTTGATGTTTCATCTTGCGCGGGTTGCTCAACGGGAGCCTGAGAACTTGGTAAGCTTTCATTTCAGTGGTGTAAGGTTGCAATTAAGCTAATTGATATGACAGATGTCTCCCAAGAACTTGGCGGTCGTGTTTGCGCCCACTATCATGCGGGACACGAGCCTGGAACGTGAGATGACAGACATGCACGCCAAGAACCTGGCTGTGCAATTCGTTGTCGAGAATAGCCACACCATCTTTACCGACTGAAAGATTGGCTTGGATGGACAAAAATGATGTTGGAAATTCATGTACATATCAACGCACCCACGACTTGACGCCCTCGACCCCCTTTTATTCAACGAATCTGGCCCGGAGAAACCTTTCCACACGCCTGACGGCTTTTATTACTACCTCACATTTGGATTCGAACAGTTCGAACGCCGTCATGACCGCAGCAATACGGGAGTATTTCTCCACGCCAGGGAAATTTAATGATATCCACACTTCTTGCTTCGGGGCACGAATGGAGTTTTCTTTGGTTCTCGAAGGCAGGTTTAGGATTCAGGGCTGAGGGGACGTCTTCACTGTCGTTGCGAGAGCGCGATCTCACCTCGTCCAACCATGAGGTGTCGAGGGCGGTTCAGTTCAATCTTGTGGCGAGGTTTCTGCAGTTGGTTAGAAGTAGGACGAGTCATACGTGACAGGATGACGACTGAGCACGACGCTGAAGAGCATGGTACTTGCGCATGGAGTCATTGCGGGCGAGATGGAATTCCAAGTTTAGTGACGCTGCAAATATCTCATGGATGGCCCAGCCCATCCTTTGTATCTGAACAAAGCCAAGCCGAAACTTTTATAAACCGTGGTGCCCTAACAATGTGATAATGATATATACAATGTGGTATCAAGCTCTGTATAAGGGCGTGCCAGACTACTTATCAGGTCTGACCCGCTCCTTCTTCCCATCCTTCTTTTTCTCGGTTTTTGCACCTTTACTTTGAGTCCCCAACCATGCGCCTCACCTTCTCCAGCAGCAGCGCGCTCTCCCTGCCCAGCCTGCGCTGCCCGCCGTTCTCGGACCCCTTGCGCGCCTTCGCCATGGCCCGGCGGTACCGCTCGCGGTCGGCCGTCTTGCGCTCGCGCTCCTCGCGGCGGCGCTGGATCTCGGCGCGGCGGGCCTCGGCCTCGGCTTTTTTCTTCTCGGCGTGGGCGAGCTGCTTCTCGTAGTAGCCTGGTTTGCGGGGTCTGCGCTGCTGGCGGGGTTCGTAGCGGTCGCCGCCGGCGGTGTCCTCGTTCGCGGCGGTATCGGCTGATTCTTCCGCCACGTGCTTGCGTTTGACGGCGATTGTGTTTGGGTTGGGGGGTTCGCCGTCATTTTCGAGCATTTCTGCGCGGGAGGGGTGGACTTCTTCTTTTGAGGGGTGAGGCGTGGTTGTTGCTGTTGCTGTTGCTGTTGTTGGCGGTGTTGGTGTTGATGAGAATGAGGATGTGCTTGTCTCTACTGCTGATGATGATGCGGTTGCCGCTGCTGGTGCTGAAGTTGGTGCGGGAGATCCCGTCTTGCTGGAGGGGTCCTGGAGGGAGTCGAGCTCATCTTCGCTTGAGATGTCCTTTGCCAGCGCGGCGGCGGGCTGCTGCGCATTTGAGGAGGAGGAGGAGGGCTCCCGAGAAGCGAGTTCTCGCTCCTTGATCTTTGCGTAGGCCTTTTTGATCTTGGCCTTGTGGATGAGCTCGATTTTCTTCTTTTCGACTGTGAGGGTGGAGGTTAGTGAATGATGATCATTTGAGAGGTTCAGGGACGTGTGAGCTCATTACCCTTTCTACGCCATGGACCCTCAGGGAGCGTGTTTGGTCCGAAGCCCTTGCGCTTCTTGACTTGGTGGTCTTTTGAGGAGGATGTACCCTCGGCGGCGCGTTTAGGAGCCATGGTTTGGGGTGGTGATGGTGAGTGAGAGAGAGACTGGGATGGGGCGAGAATCGGTCAAGCTGTCGGAAACGAGCGAGGCGCGGTGTCCCACCCTGGATAAATGAAGTTTCGTATGGACTAGACGCTTTGAACGTGCCTGGATCGGGCGGGTGCGATTCGTTTTGCAGACGATGTATGTGTAAGATCTTTGTATGAGAGTGAGAAAGGTTGATGAAGTCGATGAAGCGATTGAGCAAGGATGAAATTTTAGGTGGATCCTGCGATGAGAGGTTCGAAAAAGTGAGACGAAAGTAGCTTAGCGCGTTTTTCTCCGCTGGCCAGTGCGATCCGCGTTGGACGTTGTGGACTGTGGGCCCTCCCCGGCTCCTGGCTATCGGACTTCACATTCCGGGATCCACCTAACGGCAAGCAAGCATGAACAAAACCGCCTGCGAGAAAAGAGCCTATGACAGATTCTCGAGAGCTAATTCTACACGTGCGATGACTTACCTTCAAGCTTTTAGCAGCGTTGAGGACCCCTTGTGAGCCTCACCTCTCAGAGCGGACGATCTCTTCGAGGAACCGTCATCTGGCACCTCGTTGCGAAGTTGACACTCGCATTCGGAGCATTAAACGATTTCCTATCCGAAATTATTCTTCATCAAAGAGAGAAAGCACCATTTTCTCTGCAACACGAGATATGTAAGCTTGATAATAAATATGATGAGGAAGTTTCTCTAAATCCGGATTCAGATCATAAGTAGACGTTTCCAAGAGAACTAAAGGATGTGGTCGCAGCTCAGTTCGGGATAACGTTAATACACCTAGGTAAGGAGCATCCGCCCATCAATGTACTAGTAGTAATATTTCAAAAAAATAGTTCACCGCCGGTGTGGCTACATCTCTTGATGCTCATTCCGGGACTCGAACTCGTGATACTCGTATGCGCTAAGCCTGTCGTCGAGTAGGCTGGTTGGCGATTTGAAAGTTGACCTTATACCACTCCACCACCCAGCCAGTTTGACCTGACCCGTCGACCTAGACGGGCGCCTACTGGCTGGTGGCAGGAATGAGATTAGGGGGGCATATATGGGATACCTCGCAATCCCTCGATACAGACGCTAACCTGCGGCCTCTACGACAGTATTCCATCCCCATGAATACTACTAGACTTAGCCACATATTCGTGAGCCTTGGACTTTCACCTCGCAATAGCACGCATCGATACGGTTCCATAGCAGAGTCTAATCAATCACACTCATTGAAACTCCATCCACATACCGATTGACGGCTAGAGCAGATTACAAGTGCTTGGAACCACTCATGTCAATATACGAATCTGACTCTTCACCTGGCAATATTGTACTTCGGGTAAGTAGCCAAAATCGGACAACCCATTGACGTGATTCTCCCTCCTTGTCTGTCAAAGTACGTAGCCTGCTTCTTTTCCACAAAACAAATAAGTATTCAATCGTGTGAAGAGTTTTTTTGAACTTCTAATCTAGCAAGCTCTGCTACTCGTTCGGAGCAAAGATTCTATGCACTCGTGGTATGTGTAATCGCTGCACACCTCTATCAAGATAGCATGTACGCCGCCTTCCATCCTAATCACGACAATTGAGCCGAAACCCAATCAAACCCTCCCAGAGCAAACTTCAAACATCTACGCTCTCACCTCTATGCCCACTCTCAAAGCTTCTCAACCAACCTCACATACAAACTCTCCGCCCTCGCCAGCACCGCGCCCCCCTCATCCTCGATCCTCGCATCAATCCACCACTTCCTTCCGACAACTTTCGTCACCTCAACAACACACAGCACCGTCTGCGGCGTCCTCACGGGCTTCACATACGTAACGTTCAAATACGCCGTCATGTACGCCGCGTCGGGAATCAACCCGTTACTCTTGTTGACAGGAAACACGAGCCCAATCGTCTCATCCAGAATCGTGGCGACGATGCCGCCGTGCGAGACGTCCGGGTACCCGTTTATCCCGCTGCGGAGCGTGAGGAGGGCTTTGAGCTGGCGGATGATGGTGGGGCCGGCGTCGTCGTCCTTTGGTATGTCTGAGGTCAAGGTACTTGAGGATGCTGACGACGACGACGACGACGACGACGACGACGACGGCCGCTTGTAAAAGGTCAGGTACGCGGCAATCGTATCCGTCGTGTTGAGGGTCGTTGAAAAAAGCTGGTCCTCAGTGTTTTGTTTGGGGAACCGCGAGGGCGCCGTGTCGCGGACTGTGTCTGGTTCGTTGAGGTGCGCCGCGCACCAGGGGAAGGACAGGAAATGCTGGACGTCTGGGTTTGCCGACTTCATTGTTGCGGTCTGCTGTCCCCTATCCTTACGAGCTTAAAGCTTGATGCCCTTTCAAAATCTTTGGATACTGTCGAATGTTATGCGTAGGCAAGCGACTCAATCTTGACGACATGTACTATTGAATTGAGCGACTTCGGAGTCCAATGATATTGATGGAGACCCGGTTGGTGATGAGCTGTGGGTGTTCTTTGAGTTCCAGGTTGAGAGCTTCAATTGAGTTGGAAAAGAGCCGAGGTCTTTTTTTATCAGATCGGGCCCGTGCGTTGGCACGCGGCATGTCACCACATCCACGTAAGGTAAGGTACCTAGTTGCGGGTAGCCTTATTGGCTGTCAGGGTGGCTGCTACCTTAAACTACAAGAAACATGGGACGAGCAATAATAGACTCGACAGTTCTCTATTGGCGTTTCTCACCACAAAAGTTCAATCAAGGAGTTTTATAGGTTTCTCCTGGAGGCTTGGCGGTGGCAGGTTCGGCGGTGACAGGTTCATCCCATGCCTTCATCTGCAACTAAGGTGCTTACCTGCTTACATTCACAACTATCCACTGACACGCATGGCTTGTGGATATAGACACTTTACTACAATATTGTCCTCTCGTCTTTACAGCATGTATCGAAACCCCTCGCTGGCCGTCCTCTTACGGCCCCCAGATCCCACCAAGCCCTCCTCTTCTTCGGCTTCGCTACCAACGGCGCAAGCGACGTCTGTCTTGCGGTTCAAGTAGGAGAGGTAGAACCTCAGAGACAGCGCCAAGACAGCCACGGCGAGCATCGCACCCGCGCAGGTCTGCATCCCAGGCGCATAGAAAGGTGCGTCTCGATCCGGGTACAACCTCGTCCCCACAAGCGGTCCGCATTGCCCAATAATCTGCATCAGGGCGAACCCCCCGCCCTGCCTACTCTCGGACGCTTGGTTATTGATGCTCCATGCCACGGTGAGCGTTACGACGTTGAAGAAGCCAATGGCCGCCGGGTACACTGCGAGATACCGCAGCAATGGCGAGAGACCGATAGGCTTTGCTAGGGCGAGCGCGGCGTATCCGCCGGCCGATGCGAGGGCATGCAGTATGATGGGAATGGACCGGGTTTGCGCCCGATCCGATAGATGCGCTGTGAAAAGTACGGCAAGAAAGGCCAGGAAGTATGGAGGAGCACTAAGGCCTTGCGATGCGAGGCGAGAGTGGCCCATCTCGGTGAGGATCTTGGGCAGGAATACGGGTAAGGAGGAGTACGCCATGTTGGTAAGAAAGAACATGGCCGCGGTCAGCAACGCCATGGGATCGCACAAGACAGCAAACACTTCACCAAGGTTGAGATTGCTATGACCCTTTCCCCCATGTTTCTTCTGGCGCGGCTTCTCGCGTCGAAGTCGAAGGCGAGCCACCTTTTGCTCCCGCGCAGTGAGATAACGCGCCGTATCCGGGCTATCGGGAATGATGTGCCACGCGGCTACGGCGGCGAGAACGGATGGGAAGCCCTCGACGAGGAACAAGAGACGCCAAGGGGCTATGGGTCCAGCCTCTGCATAGTTGGTGATGAGCCAAGCCAAGGACGATGCGAATGTTGTTGCCAACGGCGCGGCTGCCCATAATCAGTCGGTTGGAACGGTCGTCTGGAGTGACGAGATACTGACCAGAGATGAATATAGCGGTACGAAATGCTAGTTCCTCTCGTTTGAAGAAGAAGGATAGGTAGAACGGTATGCCTGTGAAGCCGGCCTCTCCGATACCCAGCAAAACCCGAAGGAAAATGAGCGTAGGGTACGAGACGGAGACGGACTGCAGCGAGGCAGTCAGTCCCCATGAGAGGACAATCATGGAGACGTATATGTGGGCAGGGATGAGCTTCCATAACAGCGACATCCACTCAAAGAAGATGTACGAGATATAGAAGGCCGTCAATGTCCACTCATACCAACCGTCCCACGGAGGATTCGTCTGCAGATCCTCGTCCATACCAGCTATGCGCGCATTGCCAATATCTGGAGAGGAGGGGCTGTCAGTAGGTCGCAAGATCACATGGCCGCGGCTCAAGGTATGCCATACTAGATCGATCCAAGAAACTGAGCATAAATAGCAGTGCTACAAAAACCACCAGCTTTCGGTCGTGCTTGCGAACAACGGACCTCTCCTCGTCAGGGGTGTAAAGCTGGAAGCTCGCGACGGTGCTGGTGCTAGCTCTTCTCCGCAGCGACGTCACTTCATCACCCCATCCGTCGTCAGTATCCTTCGCAGGTGATGCACTTAGGCTCTTCAGCTCGTAGGCCTGGCCACCGCCAAGCTGTGCCTCATGCAAATGCAAGTCCTCGACATCATCATCGTCGTCGTCAGGGTCGAAATCGAGGTCGCTGTCGAGACTGAACTCGGCCGTGGTCTGCGCAAATGACGGTGACGCTTCGCCAGAGCGATTTGAACGGCTAGGTGTCTGAAGCCTCGAGGATTCGGCCATTACCACAGGGAGGGGAACGTCATGCGTCCCGTCAGAGTCGAGGACACACGGTCACCTGGGGACTGTTCTGCAGGCAGGAGCAATTTAAGTCATGGAATTGGATGCTGTGCAGATGTTTGGCTTGCAGGCCGTAGTCCGCGATGAATGCAGGTCTTCGTTCCGCCGCATTGAAGGTGGGTGTTGCCGACGAAGCTAGGTTAAGATTGATGTCTTGAAAGAGCGAGCTGGGCGCGTTGCTACTGAAATACATGGAACGGTGGAAGGATGATCGAGAGAGGTCCCACGACCAGTGACGTACCTTGGCAAGCTAACCCCTGCTCTACTCCAGCTGTTAGTGAAAGGGAAAGCTGCGGATCCTCCAAGGTGTCATTGCGGCTGGGTTTAGCGGATTGCGGGTTGCGGGTGTCGGGACGATGTGCGGCAAGATGTTGGAGCAGACAGGGATAAAAGATGAAGACTTTAATAATCTCCCTTTCTCTCTCTTCTTCCTCTCCTTGTCTGTTTTCAATGAAGTAGTCAATTATACAAGTAAACGCCTTCGCTTTGAAACCGTGTCTACTAAAATGCCGCGTAGGCGTGCGGATGGTTCGCTTAAAACGGAGGATGCCGTGGCGTGTCGTACCTAAGACAGCACACGGTACAGTGGTACAAATACAGGCTCAGGTCGTGGAGAGCTGCCTCAAAGACGCCCACCATTGAGCTTCTAATAAATGTCATCATGGCCCTTCTTCCCGAACAGTCTTCCGAGGCCGCCTCCCTATGGATCATCGCCCTTCTTTCCGAATAATCTTCTGAAGCCGCCGCCCTTGGGTGTCTTTGGCCTAAAGTCCATTGAAGGTTTGCTTTGTAGTGTTGGCGTCTCCTTTTCCGTCCAATTGCCAACCATGTTGGGATGCTGGGGAAGTGTGCCGTAGGGCAGACCCGCCTCCTTTGGTGAGAGCTGTTGCGGCGACATGGCTGTTGCGAACTGACTCGCTGGTACGCTCGACACGTACTCACGGGGTGATGCCCCTCCTCTCGATGTTGAAGGACCTGCACTGCGGTCGCGAGGCCGGGGTGTCGCGTTTTCAGCCTCCCTATCCAACTCCTCCTCTTCTGCCCTTGCCGCACCCATGTCTTCAGGGAAATCGCGCACCTCGTCGCCGCATACCACAATGTACCAGCGAATATCCTCTCCTCGTTGAAGCTGATCTCTCAGCTTTTCGAACCAGCCAGCCTTCTTCCCTGACGAACTCTTCTTCGCCTTGTAGAATTCATCGCTAGGGGCGCTTGCCATCGCCTTGGTCTCGCTCAGTCGTTCTTCGTACCGCATGATCTCCTCCGTTATTGAGTTGCTCAGATCAATGCGTACTACGTGGTCGGCAACATATGCGTAGGGACGGCTGACATAGCTTAGATCAGTCGGGTCATACTCCTCGAGCAGCTTGACAGCACTCCAGTCGTTCTGCAGGACGTCATCCTCCTCTGGCGGCACGGTCGAGGCTGGGACATCGTATTCGTTGCGCAGTGCGGCGGCTTTGGATGCTTTGGACTTGTTGCGCTTCTTCTTGTCACGTTGGGCCTCGGTTTCGTCGGGTATGGGCTCGGGAAGGAAGTCGAAGAGAGAGTAGAAGGACTCGAGGATGGCAGGAGACGAGTTTGGCGCAATGATCCATTCGGGGGCAGCATCGTCGATGTTCTGGACGACGACAAAGACGCGGATGCTTCGACGGTCCCAACGAAATCCGTGGCAGAGGTAGGTAGGCATTGTGGGTAGTCGCGATAAAGCTTGGGATGGGCGGGGAGGGGTTGTGGAAGATAGGACGAAGCGGTATGTGGCGGGGCCTAAGCAGGTAGCTCAGGGGGAGACGGGAACGATAACGAGCGCAGATCGGTGGAGAGCTCCGAGCTAGGGGTCGGATGAGAGCTTCTATTTGCCAAAGTCGAGATCGAGTGTCGTCGCTTGCCCGGGTTTGTCGTCATTCAGCGGCGTCGAGAGCGAGAGATGTGTTGTTGGCTGAGGTGAGCAGGTTGAACGAATTAGACAGCCCAAACCCGCCAGAGAGGTGGAAGAGGCGTAGCGGGTGATGGGTGTCGTACGTCCTATCGAGAGGAGAGGCGCGTCAGGGAGTACAAGACCCGAGACGGGGTTGAGCCAAAGTTGGAGATGGGAGAAGCTGGCAGAAAGATAGAAAGGGGTCAGGTGTTGTGAATTGCCGGTTCGACGGTGAGTTGAACGGTACGCAATGCATTATTCGAGCTGTAGTCGAGGAAACATAGCTTGTCGCATCGCACGCTGGGCTGCGGCGCACCTGACGCCCAACGAAATATTGCTCCTTGGGGGGGCAAACAAAGACTGGGGAGGTCGAAAGCGGCGTAGCCTGTTGGAAGGTGAAATTGGAAAGGCGAAGTGTGAGTGGCCACAAGTCAATGGATAAAGTGCAAATCGGGGCGGGAAAAGCAAGAAAAGAAGAGCAAGATCAGGCCAGGCGAAGAGACAGCAAGGCGTGAGGCAGAGGAATGTCGAGAAGTGAGAAAGGGAAGCTGGAGGTGACTGGACTGGGGAGCTGTGCTGCTGGAGGGAAGGGACGGGAAAGAAAATATGCCAATAAGAAATGGCCACCCAGGATCTGGCAGGCGCCACCATCCGGGACGTGTGGCCGGGAGAGAGAGAGAGAGAGAGAGCTCTTCCACTATCCGTACCTATTACTAGGTACGTAAGTATGTACGTTCTGGGATCGCAGGTTGGCTGTTGTGTGTGGCTTTTCCCATGCACCTTACACAGCAAAGTGTCTGATTCTTCGAAGATCCTTCCTTGCCTCCGTTCCCTCACTGGAGGCTCAAGATTCTGGGGCTGTCTGTGCTCCGATGGAGATCATGGGGGCTTAGCCACGGCCTTGAGTGCCATGGCCCATGGAACACGGGAACAGGCCTTCTTCTGGACACTGCAGACTGCTAGTGCCTCGCTTTCGAGTGCATCAGATGTCACTATTTTCGTGACCATCCGCCTCGGTTCGAATCGATCTTAACTCGATCGATAGTAAACCAAAGTATATGCCAGTAACCCATCCTCGAGACCCGGTACCTTGCCTTATATATTCCCCGTACGGATAGAGACAGACAATGGAAGATCTTCACAGCAATACCTACGGAAAGCTATGACATGCATGAAACTAGGACCCCCGGAGCTGTTTCCCGACCCTGAATCCCCCCTCCAGTCGCAGGCAATTGCTGGCTTTAGGTAAGCAATTAAGGCCCACTCGGCATGCTACCTCACTCTGCGTTCCGTTCTTGCGACTTGCGGCTTGCCTCAATTCCGAGCTGAACCTTGATTGCTTTTGTCAGTTGCAACCGAGGTTTGAGTTGGATTATCTACAGGTAGGGCGCACTGTTAGTCCTATTAGTTGTGTTCCTTCCTTGGCATCCAACTCAAGTTGTTGAGACGACAACTCCTATACGGCGTTTACGAAACCGAGACTCTATAACCAGCATCGACAAAGCCATCAATCTTAGCTTTGCTATCCATCTCAACACAGACAGGATACTTGATAACTTTTGACACCAACTTTCAACCTTTGCCCACAGACAAGCTGCAAGAAGCACTCGCATTCGAACCCAAACCACCGGCGGCCAATCAACAGCCGCAACATGATTTGAGATTCGCGATGGAGGCATACGTGTTCAGCACAACTTTACTGACGGCACCGGGTTTCAAGCCGTCTTGAAACTGGCCAGAGGGAACTAGAAAGCTTAATCCCTGCGCCCGGCAACAGTCCAGAGGAGGACGTCCCGAAGCATTCGTATCCAAAGTTCGAACAGGTGGGGTAACAAACGCAGTCTTGCCTTGTCATGCCACTGTCTTGTCTGTCTCGCGCGGCGCGTTTCCGACGACAGAAAGCTGTCAAGAAGCCCGGCTGACATTTCATCCCTCCCGGCCCGAAGCTCACATGCGGCTGCGGCATCGCGCGCACAGTCTCGACCTTTCTCGGATGTTGTCACAGGATCGCGGGGTAGATTGGCCTTTGGCACGCGGCGGTATACCATATTATTAGCGGCAATGATGACTGAACACCAAGGTGCCATGTCTTGATCTGCTACATGGATGCTACTTTACTCCATCGTAGCTTTCATCCCATCACTTGATGTGCCGATCACCAAAGAGTACCACACCCCACAAACGCCGCTCCAAGCAACATCAACATACTCGAAGCTACACTAGTCGCCGCACCCGATGCCGCACCAGTCGCCGCCGTGCCTGTTGCCGTGCCACTTGCCGCACCTGTCGTCGAGCCCGTTCCCGCACCCGTTCCCGTACCAGTTGCGGCACCTGTCTCCGCAGGTAACGACGAACTTGAGCTCCCCGTGACAAGAGAACCGGTGTAAGGCGCAGGGCTTGTGAAGGGCGAACACGTTCCGGTCGCACTTCGAGAACTCATCAGAGACATTAGAGACGAAGCTTCCCAAGCCCCAACGTACTCGGATTCCGTGAGTATCCGGTGGACTGCCTCGACCTTCTCCAATCCTGCAGTAATGGCCACAACGACAGAGCGCGCCTCCACGAAGCATGTGTTGACGGCGAGCTCCTCATCCACAGTCCCGGTCCTGAGCGAGGGGGTTGACGTTGATACGTGGCACCGTCCATACTGATCTGAAATCACGGGATGGCCGTCAGTGCCGAGCCGGCAGTCCCAATATTTCACGATGCCGGACGTGGCCGTATTGCTTCCGACCCAGCTAGAGCCCTCAATGTGGGTGACGTTGGCCGGCCAGTAACCCTCCTTTTGGCAGGCTGCATCGGCCGTTGGGCACACAACTTGGTATGTTGCCGTCTCACGCTCGTACGCAACGACAGATGCTTCGAGACTCCCGGTCGGATGAGTATCATAGATAAAGAAAGCTCTAGCGGATGATGTGACTCGAGGAGCCTGCACGCTGGAGGTCGATGTCGCGGTCGTTTGCGCGTCGACGAGAGCCAACATCGCCGAGACGGCGGGAAGGAGCGACGACGTCTTCATCGTAACAGAAGGATTGCTCAGGGCGTGAAGTTTGATGATGTTTCCGGGAGCCGGGCGGAGGCACTTGTAAGTTGCAGGTGTTGTCTTTCACATAGTAACTCAAGCTCAGAGCGACAAAGCGGCCCCCTTTTAAATAACTTTTCGATGAAGCTTGGCAAAAGAGTTGGTTGTGACTTCAGTGAAGTCTGCCTTAAACCAACGGGGGTCGCGAAGCGAAAGGGACTTCTGTGCGGAGGAGAATATTCTTCCAGCCATTGGGAAGACTGTGCCTGACAGGGGCCCAATGTAGAGGTGCAGGACCATGAGCTTAATTGAGATATGCTCATGGGTCCGGTGATGAAGGAACAAACCCTAGGAGTGCGAATTGATGTTGAGGTCATTCTAGCTGATCTCACGATACCAGCTTCAAAATACGCTGGCAGGAGCATCCGTATCGACCCAGCTTGCGACTTGCAATGTCGGATGCAGACATTTATAATCTCGATGACCCTGGGAGAAAATGGTCATCACCAATTGATATTCTAAGTACTTCCTTAGTGGTGAGGGGATAAAGGTGTTACCGCGATATCTATGGCTGCTTGTGCCGCTCAAGCTCGCCTGGGACGTTCAGGGAATTTCCAAGATGAGCCCGTCTGGACCTTCAAAAAAGAACAAGCTGGTCACGGCAGATACCAACCACAATGGGAACAATGGCTCTCGAACCGTGGTGGCATAGCCTCTACTGTTGCTGCTGTGCCGCAGGATTACGAGAAATGAGGACGGCTCGTCACATGGTCTTGCTGACGTTAAATTGAGGTGAGGTCACCCTTTTATCATATCTCTGGAAGCAAGTTCCTCTCGGCTGGGTTGGGCCATGGGCCGGGCGTCGATGAGCAAAGCTCTTTCGCAAAGACTAAACAAGATTGACGAGACTCCCTCTCATCGAAGACAATCCTTCTCCCCCGATCCGATGCGGATGTTGAAAATACTCATGATTAGTGATTCTCCTCTGGTTCTGTTGGCGAAATTGTGGTCTGCCTGGCGGTTAAGAACCCCAGCAGCTCCTCCGAGGGGCGATTGGACGGCTGCTTCGTACGGCTGAAAGAAGCTTAGTCGGACCGCCGGGGGTTATCCTGCCAGAGGCGCAGACTCGGCCAGGGGGTGGGATGAGCTCAGGCCAATCTCTCAGGGCCATCCCAGAAGAGAAGCCTTTTCCCGCTCTTGGATGATTTGGTTGTCCATGCGTCGTATTTCTCTTCCTCACAAACCGCTCAGAGTTGAGTCTTGGAGAGGATATGGATGCTTGCTGGTTCATCAGCAACGTCTCAACGTCTGTCAACGAAAAGAGTCGATAAAAGATCGATCTATACATCTCCAAGACTCGAACTTCTAAGCACTGCCTGCGGGCGTTGATGGACCATACCACCCCAGTCCACGTCGGCGACTACAGGGTATCGTGTGTTGATCTACTTCCCCTTTCAAAATTTCTGCATCTTGCCGCAGTCGCTGAGCAGAAACCTCCATCTTTTGATTTCGGAGTTCTTCAACATCCGGAAGAAAGCCTGTGGGTGATAAGTTGATAACCCCACAACGACGGAGTACACAGTTCCACCCTTTCGCCCAGAGATAGAGATGAAGATAGCCTTTCATCTCCTCTTCCCCTCTGTCTCCATAACGAACGTGGTCACGCACACACCAGTAACCACACACACCAACCAGCCTGGCAACGGGAGCGCCCATGCCCTCAAGAAGCGCGAGTTCCTGAGCAAACGGGCGGACGAGGCAGCCCAGCGGTCCAGCCCAGGAGAGAATAGAGATGGTGGTGCGGCGTGCGGCGTGCCACCTTTCCATCCAAGGGAAGGGCTTGCCGCTTCGGCCCTCTTGCTAAAAACGATCCCAGGCGCAATAAGGCGCCGCAACGGCGCGGTTGACTATGTCTGCTAGCTGGTCCCTTTCATTCAACCTTCTAATCCCGGACCCTTTGCTGGCGTTCACCTTGCCTTACTTTATACGGATGCCCATCTTGAAAAGCAATTCGGTTTTCCCATTGACGAGGTAAACCTCAGATCTGGCAGCCATCGACAATTGAGAATGTGCGGAATCATGGATACACTCAGCGTTGCAATAGGCAATCAATTGTAACCTCACAAATTCAGCCCGCAGGCCCGCCGTTCCCACAAACCCTGTTATTGGGTAAGTCGAATGTGGTAGCAATGTAGCATCCATGGGTGGCCCTTGTCAAACTGTGTCCCACAGCTGGTAAGCACTAGCAACCCAGAGAGCACAATGTCGTGATGCTCATCACTGAGTTGGCAATCTCTCTGCTTTGTCAACTTTGACTATACTACCCCATTGGTTCCTTTCCGCGGATCCAATTGTTCTGGGAAATCATTGATGCCAATCCATGAGGCAATGGTCCTTTTGAGGCAAGTTTTTCCCTCCTTAAGAGAGAGAGGCACAGGGCGTGATAGATATCTTCTGCCCATCTCGTACCCGACTAAAAGAAGCGCATAAGAGCTGCCTGGGGCGATCCGCTCGCCTGCATGGTAACATTAACGCTTGTCTCTCCCGCAGAAGACGTATCCGGTGCCGGGATACATTGTGGCCAGAAATCACAAACATGTGTCTTTGCTGCGCCGAACTCTCCAACACCAAGTCTCCCAAGGGGCAACGGCGCACAAACGCTCCTGTCAAGCTTTCGTGGCTGGGCCTTGTGCGACTCTTGGTGTGCTCCTCGCGGCTAACCCATGCGAAGGAAGCGCCAGCTGGGAGCTATTTTACATGTTACTGCGTACGCTACAAGCTTCGTTTCTTAAAATCCTACGAACCACGGCAAATTTGAAAGGAGAGAACTTAGCGCCCACGTAGGCAACTGGAACCCTGCAAAGCCTCAGCCCATCAGCTCCATCACCAATGGTGGTCGGTCCCGTCTGAAGTTTCTTCTTCCTCACGTTCTTCTTCTTGTCCTTGGCCCGTCAGCCATCCACCGGTGCCCGCAGCGGTGGTGGTCTCGACCCCGTTCTTCGGGACCCCTGCAATATCTATCTTCTTACATACGCGAGAGTGTGGTCGATTCAAGGATTGGATCCGGCGACCCGTGCTGGCCCCCCTCTACTAGTGTAGCAAGCTAGGTAGCCATGCCATGCCCTGCTCACTCTCACTCTCACCATCACGCTCATCACTCCGTGGTAACTCTTCGCCCAGACGTTGAAGAGAGTTCAACCATCAGCCCAAAGGATGGGTAACATGGGGGGCCATTGCCCGGGGTCAGATTTTACTGCAACGCTAGACTAACATGTCTTTCCACCCGTGGCCACTCCAGCTCCTTCGTTGATCTACCTCCTGCTCCTCCTCCTTCTCGATCCCAGCTCATGCTTCTCCCGTCCCGCACCTTGTCCAATCCTTCCGGCTCTTTTCTGGTGCCTGTCTGTCTGTCCCTCTCTCTGCCTCCTATGAGTACCGTCAAGTACTTAAAAATGGCTCCCAGGGTAAGTTCCCCGCTTGGTTGCTTTCCCCTTCCTCTTGGCTCTCCTTTCTCTCGGTTTTTCCCCATCTCTTTTGGTTTCTTCACAGCTTCACCAAAGATCTTATTCGATCCACCGAAAAACTGATCATGGCTACAACACAGCACCAGTACGATGAAGGCCCGGAGCTGGCACCTCAGCATCAGTACCCCGAGGTCTACCACCCGCCACCCCAGCAGTCGTACTCGGCCTCGCCACAGCCAGAACCCGTGACGCCGATGAAGCAGGAGGGCTCGACGTACGGGTACCCGGCCTCCGGCGTCGACCAGTCCGTCTACGGCGGCAACCAGTACCAGAACCACGCCGCCGGGGAGACTGCCCCTCAAAAGTCCAGAAAGACCGTCTGCGGCTGCACGTTCCTCGTCTTCCTCCTCTCCGTCATCATCGCCGTCTTGGCGGCCGCCGTCATCGGTCTTGCGGCCGGCACCGGCGTTGAGGCGAGCCGGGCCAACAACGCGATCCAGGAGCTGGCGGCCATGTCGGCGTCAGCGACGAGCGGCGGGACGACGGCGACGACGACGGTGACGGTGACAAGCGCCTCAGCGACGGCTACGGGGTTCAACGCCCTCACCAACGGCTGCACCGACTCGAGCGAGACGACGACTGGCCAGACGTACACGACTGACTTTTTCGGCAAGAAGACGTTCACCATGTACTGTAAGTAGTGCACCTGAGAGATCCCATCTCACTTTTTGCGCATTACTGACATGCTACCTCAAGGCAACAAAAACGCACCCAACTCGCCGTTGATGTCGCTCTTCACGGCAAACTTTGACAACTGCATGGACGCCTGCGCATCCTTCACAAACTACGAGCCCGGGTTCGAGGGCAACGCGTCGTGCACGGGTGTTAGCTTCATCCCGCTGTGGACGACGAGGGCGGGCGCCGTCGAGGGCAAGGCGCCGGGCAACTGCTACCTCAAGCCGGGGAACCAGACCAAGGGGAACTTGGAGACGCCCAATATCGGGACCGAGTGCCATGCCGCCATCATGAGCTAATTTTTTTTGGGGTTCTCCATCAAACCTAATGAGAGTCAAGTCCAGGCCTCACTTGTAATTTGGGATGGCGTGGCGCGGGGCGTGTTTTGTTTCTCATTCTATATACCACTTATCTGGAAAAGATTATTACGTGTACTATGTGGACACAATTTTTGGGGCGTCAAAAGGATATTTAAAGCATATGGGCAGGGCAAACATACTTGCCTGGAAAGTCAAGTGGCATATGAGAGAATTCTTCCCTTCAGCCCACTGTGTCGACGCAAGTCTTACACGATGTTCTACGTGCAACAGCATATCTCACGCCTCGGGTGGTCTTTAGGGTGCATTGGATCAGATGATTCGATGATGGGAGTGATGCTTGAGTCTGTGATAAGGATATTTCCCGAATTTGCAACCATTCGACGCATCGGATTGAATGAGAGCGAGTGGGAAGGAGTGTGATTTCGGTACGGCTCAGACAGGGTTCTCAAATACGACTTTAGAAGGAGGCCATTGGGAAGCCAGAAGCCGTCGCGGAAAACGAAGCAACTTTCATACTAGAGACTTGGGGCTGTGTCTTATTTGGCATGCGGCATCTGAGGCATATGAGGCAGGCAAGTGTGCCCATGGAGAGAAGGATGCCACGGCCGTAAGCTTTTCAGCTCAACTCATCATGATGAATAAGACGACAACCTCACAAACTTCAATCGGTGCATCTTATACAGCGTTAGGTTGAGTATGAAGAGTTCCCGCGGACTCTATAGTCGAACTCGTGAGCTCTTTATGTTTTCCAGCCGGTAGACTGGCCGCCATCAGAAACAGTCGGTGAGTATCGTCACAATCACAACATTAGATATCAATTCCATCGTCAATTCAAATTGCAGCTGAATGAAGGACGACCCAGGGAAACTTCTGATGATGGATTCAAGGAAGTAATTAGAATCATGTTACCATCCAGTCCGTCCGACTCAGTTACTTTATTGCCGTGGCTTCGAGTTAAGGCGCGTCCATAGTGATGAATGGGAGCCGGTATATCATGTTGCGTGTATCAGATGTTCTCACATCTATTAGTAAGAAGTGAAGTATGTCGCATGTTCATCATCGAGTACAGCGTACTCACGATCCCGTATCACATCGTATCTTCTCTGGATTGAAATTGCTGCTTCGAGTTGAGCGCCAGCTTGGGGCATAGCATGAGCACTATGTATTCAAATCATGCGCCGTATCGTGTGATTTCCTTGAAAGCCAGAGTCCGTTGAGGTCTGTCTGTCATGACGGAAAGACTTCATCTTCATTTTGAAATTGGCCATTTCTTGCTGCGTGGTCAGTCTTATTCCAGGCGCGTCGTAGGACGCTATCCCTCGCCATTCCTTTTCGAGGAGCTGAGCCCCCCGAAACTGGCTATCTCGTGGGCAAATGAGGACAGACATTCCACTTAGTTTGCATATGAGAAGCGCACTCACTGGAGCTAAACATTAAGTGTTGCTGGAATGGGAGTGGCACTTGCCCGTGTTAGAATAACCCGACAAGGGTCTATCAAATATTTCCCCATCGGCAGGTGATAGCGCGATTCGCACGCAGACGAGCTGAACCAGACCCCCGGTATGGCCGGTCTCAGGCTCTCAGCTCAGGTCGATGTTGACGTGTAAAGCCTTCATCAGCTTCAACGGAAGCCGCCACTGGAAGGTCTAGATTCGAGGTGAATGAGGAGAAAACGAGTCGCATATTCGTTGCTTGTCTAATTGCGTCGACGCAAGCCTGTCACAACAATGTACATAAAATGACGGCCGAATCCCTCGACGAACTCACCCAGCGGGCGGCTTGAGCATCAATCTTCTTCTCCTCATCGCATCTGTATAATACCTTTATCGAAATTCCATCATGGTTGGATCACCTGCCACAAGACATCCTAACGGAGCCCGCCTCCTTGCCCTTGACGGAGGTGGCGTCCGCGGCGTCGTCTCCCTCATGATTCTACAAGAACTCATGCGCCGCGTCCAAGTGAGAAAGAAGCTGGAAAAGGAGCCTCTCCCCGTGGATTACTTTGAGCTCGCAGCCGGAACTAGCACAGGTGGCATCATCGGCATCATGCTGTTCCGACTTCGCATGACGGCCACCGAGGCCATTAAGCAGTACGACATCATTGCCACGGACGTCTTCAAGCCCAAGATATATGGCTGGAGCATTGGATTCCTCGGAGACACGCTCTCGTCCTGGGTTAACAATAGCAAGACCGTGGTGCAGAGTAGTCGTTTTGACGACGCGTCTTTGATCGCCGCCATCAATAGAGTTGTAGATGAACTTGGCTTGGACAAGGACGACAAGCGGTTGAAGGGGGAGGCTCTGCTTCAACATCCAGCAGCCGGCAAGTTGTAAGTCGATAAAAACTCCCATAACACCTCAGACTACGTCAAGATTCTAACGTTTGAAACCAAGGCTTGTATGCACAACGGCCCAAAACAGAGGCGAAACGGTTTTGATGAAGACGTACAAGAACACCAACGTGTACACCAGTTCGACAGTAAACAACCTCATGAAGAGCCACGGAAACGAAATCACAATGAGTCTCGCGACGAGGGCAACTTCTGCCGCCCCGACGTACTTTCCCGAAGTCAAGTGGCCCGCGGGCGCAGAGAAGCCTCTCACGTTCTGGGACGGAGGACTCTTGAACAACAACCCCATCGATCAATTGTGGAACGCGCGGTACGATCTCGTTCAGCCGGGAGAAGCACAAGAAGGGGTCGAGGAGCCCAAGATCTCGTGCGTGATCAGTCTCGGCACGGGCTACAATAAGACGGAGTCGCCAAACGACTCTTGGTTCCGTCTCACGGGGGTCGCGGCGACGGTGATGGCGTTCGCTACCAATACGGAAGCCAAGGGTAAGGATTTTTCGAGGCACATGGCGGCGCTCAACAGCAGGCAAAAGGGCCCCAAGACGGCATATATCAGGTTCAACCCGACGCTCGGGGAAAACAAGATTGGTCTGGCGGACTATACGCAGATGACGCTGCTGAAGGAGCTTGCCACGAAGTACATCAACCAGGCCTCTGGGAATGAATATTTTGAGAAAGCGGTTGACGCGATTTGCTGTTAGAGTTAGCCTATACATGGATGAACGTTAAGCAAGATTGAAACCAATGATTGCGAATGATTCGCACTTTCCAAAGCCTCAACATGAGACCATTTTCCTCGGTATTGTGTTTTGTTGGCTAGGCTCATCCGAGTCACTGCTGCAATGCTGAGGGCCAAAACAACTTGGAGATACCTCCGCCTGGCCCGGTTGATTCATTCTTAGGATCGCCGGTCTCGCTTCTTTCTCGATGAAGTCCAAGGGGACCCCATGGGATAGTTGTGATCATGCCAAAACTTGATTTTCAATCCTAGAAATCCTTCCGGCCGAGTTATCCACTTCAAACCGCTACAGACCGATGGAAGCCATCTTCGGTCGGCTGAAGGGCCATCGCGCCGTAAGCTTTGACCTAGACAGTCCTCCGATTTCGCAGCCGCAATTGACAAAGGGTCCTAACAAGCGCCTTTGTTCGAGGCTCCGAGGCTCTCCTCGTACGGCAGTGGAGTCCGGAGTGGGTGAGCAACCCGGGTCTAGCGCACGCCGAGAACTTGGACCGACGGAATGGGTGGGTGGTCGTTTTGCATCTCGAGTTCTCGACTCATCCCCCAAGCCGGGGGAGCGGTCAGCGGTCGTCGGGGGTGCGGCTGACGGGCGGGCGGGCTTGCAAGTTGCAATCAAGCATTTTTCATGCCCACATGGACATGGGAGAGCCGCGGAGAAACAGTCGCGGGAAGCTTGGGAACAAAACGCGGAATCGGCTTCGGCTTGAGACCGCACCTCGTTCTCCTACCAAGTCTGATGGTGTCGGTCTTGGTTGCCAAAAGTACCTGATAGTGGAAGGTCGCCTTTTCCACCTTTGACCGGCTAATTACTGCTGGCTGGGTAGATCCCATCTCTGCTCAGAGATTTCACAGGATTAACCTCTGTCATGGTCATATACCTCAACTCTGCTTCGACCTTGACTCACAAGCCGCTCATCTAGGTCCCGGCCGACATAACGACGTTGAAAGAAATCGTTGTGCATGGGTGTAAGACGGGAATGCGAGTCTCTACGCCCTTGGTGTCCTTCAAGAGCCAAGGCCGGCGCAGTTGCTCGTGGCTTGAAGTGTGGTGTTCTGGGTGGATGGCTGCAGAAGGCGGGTCAATTATTAATACCGGTTACACAGGACCATGTTGAGAAGGACGACATTGGCTGAACAGCCTGGGTAGAAGCACCCCCGTAGGGTTGGCTATAGTGTTTAGCTTCAGCGTTTTCTGGTGTGAACGGCCTTACCGTCAGACGGACATGTTCAACACCCCCATTGACTAGTAGCGGAACATACCATGAGATGGGTAGGCTGCGGAGTAACCTACTGCAGGCAAAGTTGCCAAATAGAAGAGCGAGCCAATGCTGTGATCTTCAGCTTATCGGCTGAGAGCGACGAGTCCATTGCATCCTTTGCAACCACCTCAGCCTTCTGAAATGTAGAAACAGCATGATGGTTCTAGAAAGCACCCTGCAAATTGCCTTGCCATGCTGTATCCGTATGCGTCCTAGTACGAAAGTTCCCAAGGATCTGTTCTGTTCGTACTTACGATATCAACACCCTCCTCTTGTGTCGATTGGCGACGATGAATGAGTCTGCGCAACTTGAGTCTAAAGCGATATTATCCCTTGGGAGCATCTGATGTTAAGGATCTTTTTATCTTGACTTAAATCCCACAATGACATGAGAAGCCGCCGGCCAACTGACGGCGCCCTATCTCAGCTACTACTGCTTACACTCCGCATCCCCTCCGCCAGAACGCGAACCAGCCTTTCCCATACGCAGACGCACAAGGAAGACGCCGGCGCAAGCGCAGACTCGTACGCAGTAGAGATGTGGGGGGTGATCCCTCCCCCCCGTCCGAAGGGTGTGCATAGTAAACTTGTCAAAAGACATGCGACTTGCGCCCTTCTGATGACACGACC